GCCCCTGGAGATGCTAGAGAACTTGATGGACCATGGGGGTTAGTTTACCGCTTGGTACCTGAGTTATTACATAGTTATACCATAGTTACCCGTTGGTAGTATTGGCAATCAAACCTGAAGATGGAAATTCCCTAGAAACGAAAGTGTTTATGATAAAATCATCTATAAATGGGTGTTTTTCCATTGCCACGTTTCAATAAACGTTTGATTACCAGAGGCTATATCCCCTGATAACATCTCATAACTCAATACATAAGTAGGTCAGTGGATGTTAATGGGTTTTAGGTCCCTAAGCAGTTCATCCACCGCAAGTAGGGCAGGACTCTCCCCGACTTTGCCCGTAGCCTCTGTCATCAAAGGTGGACAATCCCATTTAGATTTGATTTTCCCATTGTATGTCATAAAATCTATATAAAACTACCATTAAATTCCATTGGATTTTCCCATAAAACCATATAAAACCCTGCATTCTTTGGGGGAATTCTCAATTGCCATGTTTGATTCTCGGAGAACTTCACGAAGAGCTTCGTGCCTGGGGCCCCCCAGGGCCCCAGGGCCTTGTTGGGCCCGATGTCACCGCAGGCTGGTGATTACCAGCACAGAGTTGCCTGCTGGGCTTCTGGGCGCGCAAGATCGGGTGTGTTGTGATTGGTTTACCCTCTGGTTATGTCAAAATAGCTATTGAAAATGGCCATTTATAGTGGATTGTCCCATTGAAAATGGTGATTTTCCATAGTTATGTTAGTTTACCAGAGGGTAGTTCACGCAATTTCTTAGTGACGTCTTATGATCATAATTGTCAATCCAAAAAATTGTTAGTACTATTCAGTAGCGGTCACTTTCATCTTAGTACTACCAGGATGATTTTCTGGTGGAGTTGATGTGAGTGGCTTGTGACTGGAACATACCCAAAAATGAAACTATATGCACCCTTGCATAGCCGCAAGTGACACTGACGTATATTGATGTATCATTGCATGACCATAGGCAATGATGTAGCTTATGATCAAATGCCCGTTGCTTTCTGTCGTTTCAAGAGCCGGCGGTCAGCGTTTCGAAACGTTTCGTTTCAGGATGGAATATCAACACATGCTGATGGATTTCCTACCTCCCGCCTGGACTGTGGTCAAGAAGCTGAAGAAGGGCACAGCGCACCTTTGACATCACTGGACCGCAAATAAATGGGGTGAAATTTGCTATTCATAAGGTGGTTTCCCATATTTAGCTAAGCTGCTTTTGAGGTAGGTTAATGAGATCACAATGAGATCCCCCAACTGACAACTCGGGGGCACCACCGCAAAAAGGCATGGAGCATGACATGCACCTTGGATGTCCCTTGGAGGTTCCCTTTCTAGTATTCAGTGAAGGCCGAGGATTGATAGTCAAATGAAGGTGTTGAATGTCTGTGGATCGGAGGCTCAATTCTGAGTAAGCTTGGTTGGATAGTTTGAATGGGTTAAGTTTCAGCTGCGGTTTGGGCGAATCCATTGCCCAGCTGAAAATAGATCTACTCTATAGCCATGAGTTTGCAAGAGCCCTGCCCCCAGTGAACTTTGAATCCCTTCCTTCTGGACCCTTATAATTATGTCATTGTTATCTGTCTTCATAGCGTGTTTGTACATCACAGTCCTTAGCTGTGGCTCCTTTGTTTGGGCCAACAGCTCGCCCTCAGCCTTAGCAAAAACCTTCGGGATGGCGATGGAGAGAGAGAGAGAGAGATTATAAATATGTATAATTATATATATATTATGATATATAATTATATTATACGTGTATATATATACATATAATTGAAGTATATGTTACATATATGTATATACATTATAACTTATACATTTATAGATATATATGCATATACATATAATGAATTATATCATCCCTGTAAGCCTGGTGGAATGTAGATTTACTCGTGGATCTTAGGGAGACGGGAGTGCTGCCTATTGTCCTCCCAGGAAGCTTCTGACCCACATTCCGCTGCAGCGCGAGATCATGGAATTTCTGGGAGTTCCCAAGGTGACATTGTGGGCTGTTTGGTCCTGTTGAGCCAGAGGTTTGCCACCAAAAGTCATATTGGGCCAGCAATAATCTCGACTCAAACAGTTTCTTAGTTGGCCAAGGTAGCATTTTTACACCGCAGGGAGGCCCACCATGGTTTGCCACAACCTCTTGGTTCAAAATGTGAACTTGCACTTCATAATTCTTGGTGTTCTTGCCAGATGACATGCTGGAACCCAGTTGTGATTTCCGCTGAAGGTGCTTTGGAAGAGGGTATAACCATGGCAGTGGACAGTTGGTAACTTGCCTTCGCACAGGAGAACATCTTGGAGCTTCCATTTCCCAAGGACAGCAGGGACTGGAGGGATCCATCGGCCAAAATGTCCATCTCAGAGTGGTATCAATAGATCCCAAGAATTTGGCACAGAGTACATAAAATGACCCTATTTATCTTGCCCACCCACAAAACAAGCCTTTGTGTTCTTTTTTTGGGATAGTCATTGAGGTAATCATAAAAAAAATCTATGGGCTGTCATTGTCACTGCCCAATATTGAGGCAGGGACCTGTGAAGTTTCATCGTCCCTGGTCCCAGGAAAATCGTTTCTTATTGTGCACACATCCCAGCAAGACCCTACACCTCTGGCGCACGGGGCGCAGTGATGGGGAGCCTCTGCCCATGAGAAATGAAATCGGCCGCTCGGATTTCTGATTAGGCCTTCAGAAAGTGACAATGAATAGATCCAATATACCACACCAGGGTTTAGAGGGTGGCCTTTATATAGTATATATATATATATATATTGATTCTTTTGGGAGATATGATTCCTGGGTATACCCCTGTTTTGGATAATGTACAAAGGCCCCCAAATGGTTGATTCCAGATGGGGTTGACTGTGGATCCTGTGTCGACTTAGCTCAGATCTTTGTGACGGCCATTCAGTCTGCCCTTGTTGCAATCAAACATGTTCAGCTGAGAACCGACAATGTTATACATTGTTGATGTTGCCAGAACTGGAAGGGCAATTGCTGTGATCCATGCAATATCTTGGGTGCGTGCTGTTATGATGTCTTGACTTAATGTTGAATACCAAGTTATTTCACACATACACAAACATACATGTACATAATATATAGCACTATATAACAATAGTAGAGGTATTATGTGTTTGTTGTTTTGGTTTTTGATGAATTTCTTCTGCACAGTTGACCCGTTTGAGAGTCATGGGGGCTCAGGTGGCTTCACAGATTTTTGGCATCGGCTTCTGGATTTTCGTGTGGCGGAGCTGCAACGACTGAAATCGACCGCCCAATATGTTCATCGAACAAAAATACCATCTCCTCCCAATATAAAAAAAAACTAAACGCACTTCAAAAAGCCATGGTTTAGTGATTCACATCTTGTGGGGTGTCCAATAGTGGCGATGGGAGAATATCCCAGCAGAACGATGTATATATAAAATTATATAAACATCATTAACATCCTATTCTGGCATGTCATGTCATCCATTTGGCCCATCGAAATGGGACCCCCCTTGTAGACTCACCTGTCCGGCACAGGTGGCGCCGGAATTGTCGAATGCCCTTGCAAAAAGTGCCAACTTAGATCCTCCGGCGGTGATTTTCTCGGGAGCTGTGAATTGGAGCCTCCTGCTTGTATCCATATTCACTAATGACAAGGGCAGCTAATTATGGAGCTGAAAAAACTGAGTTTCCCAAGCACATGATAGTCAAAGGCATCTTCTTGCCCCGAATGATGGTGACAAACTTCCAAGTTTGGAAGTGTCTCCCACCCATGTATGGGATGGTTTATCATTGGCTTCACCGCATTGATGCACTAGACGGGGTCCAAGATGGGCCAAGTAGACCATATCAGCCAGATGTCATGGGTATTGGCATTCGTGCCCAATCAGAATCACAATGTCAAGGCTTCAATAGGGGCCCAACAATGGCTATCCACTACTCACTTGGCTTTTCCTACACCCATCACCGATTTTCAGCCGCCAAGAAGTGGTGATGTAAACCTATTGCCGCATAAGTATGCGTAAGTCATAGAAACGATCTACATAGTTGGGTCGAACTTGTGACCCATTCTTGGGTTTTGGCACGGAATTAGATTACAGAACACATTGCAGGAAATCCGCCCTTATCTTGATTACAAAATACGGTGCTCTCAGTATCTCTTAGTCTATGTTCCCTGTGATGTTTTGTTTCTGCGGGTGGTGTAGCGGAACATTGTACCATCTTTTTGGTCAAATCGCATCAAGAATCGCAATACTTGATTCCACAAATAGCAATGAAATCTTGATTCATTCCTCTCAATATTAAATCATCGGAAAAAAACGCATAACAATTCACAAGTATATAATTAAATCCTACTAAAGTAAATGGTAAATCATGTTGTATCACTATAAAACCATATTAATTCCGTTTAACATATTTAAAGTCCCGATGTTTGGGCCGTGGATCTTTCATCTTCCAAGGATCCATGGCAGGCACTTGCAGCGCGACAAGTGACCTTTCTCCATCGCTGCGTGGAGAGGCGACGGCTGGTGAATGAAGAGCAAGCGCTAGCGGTGACCAGCAAGGCGCTTCTCACTGAATGGTGGGAACCATTGGGAACCGCAAAAAAAATACATGGTGATTATTTATGGGATGAGGCAGACTTGGTCTGAAGGTGATGGAGAGAGAGAGAGAGAGAGATCTTATGGTGGGATTGTTTTTTTTAATGATTTATGACAAGATATCCATGGCGTTTTGTTGTGGAATTGTTTTGGTGGGAAACACTTGAGGTGGTACCCCAGGTTGTATTCTAAGTGGCTTGGGATTTATGGTGATGAAATGGCTATATGGTGGGTTAATACATCAACCTACAACTGGGGGCCCTCACCTTGTACAAAAAAACAACGCATGCCCCTGACATGATCCATTGGATAGCCAAACAAGATGGGGAAACACGCCAAACAATTACAAACATTGTGATTAAACCATGGAATTTTGGCACTTTGAGACAACTGGGGTTTCCATAAAATGGGGTTTAAAATGGATGGACTATAATGGAAAACCCTATTAAAATGGATGATTTGCGGGTACCCCTATTTTAAGAACCCCCCAAATCCATTTCTATCTTCATGAAATGATTGAGCCTCATTGCATAGAGGAGCCCTCGACGGTGGTTTTTCCATGGTTCTCGTTCGAGTCTTCAGTGGCTTAATGGTGATTATCAGGAGAATATGATGATGCAGTGAGTATCCATAGATTCTAGGCGTTCTTCAGATGTTGTTCTCAATTTAATGGTAAAAACCATGGTTTCCTGTAGATTCTGTAGATGTTGCCTTATATAAACCAACCCAATGTTGTTCAGATGTGTTCAACCAAATTTCAACCAAATTTAATTCCAGGCTAGCGGTAAGTCTTGCCCCACGACACAAGCAAGGCTTGGTAGAAAGATACATATCATATATCAAATCCACCAAACTGGATGAAGACTTCATCCCCAAATCCACCAACCTTGGGTCGACACTGGGGATGGTTCTGGGTTTCTGCAGAGGTTGCAAGACTAAAGTGTTTTTGATAGTGCAAGCATGAAAACCATTTACATAGTTATTCCATACATGGAGCATATGGGCATGCTTCACCATGTTTCACCTTGTTTCACCTATGGTTTTTTTGGGTGGAAGGCCACTGGACGACCTTCCACGGGCCTAAAACCCATGGTTTTGAGGCGTTGATTGAGGCGAAGCAACCGGAGGAGCTGGTGTCGATGTGCGCAGGCGGGGCGGCCATCAAGCAACTGGGAATTTTCAGCGACAATTCGTAGTCATCTATTGAGAAAACAACCAAAGACTCTTTATTGAATTTATGGCTATTTATCTATGAATTGTTATTTGAGCAACCGTAAAAACCCCGGCAATACTAAATATGTATTCGACGGACATTGTTTTATGGAAATTGATGGAAATTGTTAAAAACACGAGGTAAGCGATGGGACCTTCCCAAATTAGCGATACCCCTTTTCAAGGTTATGTCATCATATTTCTCTAATATCCACATTAGCGATACCCAAATATCACATATTAGACATATTATTCATAGTTCATCACATATATATATATATACACGTATATATAAATGCAGCAGTTTCCTGCAAGCGATACCCCCCAAGTTTACCATATATCATTATTGTACAAACGTGTGGTAAGCGATGGGACCTTCCCAAATTTGTGGATGTCCTTTCCGTGAACCTAGGGTTTTCACAATCGCTCATTTAATTACCAGAACATGTTCAAACATGACATTCAAAGACTATTGAAATCTATTGAATGTCTTTGAGTCTTTGAATGTCCTTGAACCGATGAAAGTTGAATTTAGTCGTGTCGGGGATTCAACCTGGCATGGAATCGTCAACACAAATGACTTCCATACTCACATGACTCAAATGGCTTGGCAACTGCTCAACTATAGATACTACAGTATCCACAAAAAACATCGAATAGTTCAGCGCTACTTTGGTGCGAATTTACTTTTCAAATTGTTTGGGGGTACTACAACTCATTCATGAAATGCTTTGAATTGGCTCCCAAAAGGCCAGTCAAGAACCAACCAAGGGTAAAATAGACCAACAGTATCCAACAGTCATTGGTTTTTCTATTGGTTTGGAAGGGAAACTTTACAGGAATCCACTTTTTTTTTAAAGAAGAATGCCCTGGGTTTTCCCTGGGTTTCCCCAATGAAGCATGCGTTGCATTCAGGTCGTCGTACTTGGCTGGAACAATTCAAGGAGGCAGTGAATGCTACTGATACTGAGGGAATTCTTGGGATGTGAAACATGAAGATACTGCCCAACTATATATGTATTTTGTGTGGTTAAATGTACTAGCAACATGTATCATAACATGTTTAATCCATGGCAACAATAGATATGAATAGGGGTTTTCATAGGGGTTGATAAGGTACATATACCCTACACGTCGCTCGACAGTATAAAAAACAGTGGTTTGTAAACGACTGTATTTTAGATTAACCTTCGGTTTTCTACATAGAACCACTGTTTCCTAGATATGAACCACTGTTTTCTAGATTAACTCCCATGCCATCCTGGGTTGCTCCGTTGCCTCAGGTGTAGACCCGGCTCAAAGGCAACATCTTTCCCAGTTTAGGGTGGATGTATGTGGATTTAGAATGATATGTTATAATATATGATGTAAATGAAGTAGACTATAGAAATTATGTGAAATGATATCAAAGGATTAAACCAGATGTGATGGGTGCAGGGGATGGATGACAATGATCATGGATTCATGGTACATGTAGTTTAAATTTTGATGAAGTTATGCTACCTTGTGCTGCTGCTCATGGCGGTCGCTTTACGTCCTGGCAGAAAGCCAGGGACTCATTTTTTTTGACATTAGATTTTTTGGACGTACAAAATGTCAAGACACGTTTTTTGACAAGTTTTGAATGATTTGATCTCCCATCCCCATTGTATCTTAATTAATAAGATCATTGGCCCTGGGGTTTCATCAGGTCGAGGTCTATGAAGAAAGGGCTGAGACGGCGTCAGCCACTGAGACCTTTTAGGGTTGCTGGGGCAAGGCGCTAAATTCTATGTGAAAATCTGGGTTCTTATTTTATTGGGTTTGATCGTTGTTATAAAGTTTGGTATTTTTTTAATTTTTGGTTTTTAATTCATGTCTACCGATTGGGATGGCCAATGCTGCAGACTCAGGTTTAGACCAACAAGATCCCCGACATATATGGCCACACATAGAATAATTCTCTGACCAAGACAAGACTGACCCAGGTTCTTTAGAAGACTTTGAAGCGCGATTGGAAGATGAAGGTGCGACCCCACCCCCTGCCTGGCATTTGAGGTGGGTACAGGGGTGAACATCATATCATTATCACGTACTATACCATTATAATTTCAAGATTTAGGTTTTTGGGAAATGTTTTTTTGGATTCATGAATTCATATATTGTCACGATTTTTGACATGAACCATTGTTCGACTGCATCGATCATACCTAGCCCGTATCGCTGCACCTTTGTTTTGATCATTTTGGATAATTTAGCACAGCTGTGCTCCGCGTCGGGGGGGACAGGGTGCGACGCGTCATGTCGGTGTCCCATTTGGCCCATGTTCCTACCCGGACGTCTAGTGATCAGATTGCTCTGCTGAAGGACTTTTCTTTTTTTTTGCTATCTGGAACTTTTGATTTCGTTTGGGTTTCATTTTTGTGTGCATCATCTCGTGTAGGATTATATTATCTGGTTACGGTGCTTTTGGATTATAGCCCATTGATTGATATCGATCCATAGGTCTGAAAGGTCTTATCTGGTAAATTCTGGCTTTGCAACTTTTATTGGTACGAAACATAAAACAAAAAAATGTAGATCCGATACGATGGGATGGGTAGATCCAGTCCGCGATGTAGGACTTCCTTAGAGAGTTTTGCGATGATGACGATTGGGCGAACAAGAGGCGGAAGCTCTTAAGGAAACGAGCCGGTCTCACTGGGGCCAAGAGTTCCACGGTCTTATCCTCAACTCACTTCGATCTATACGAATGTCACTTATTTATACTGTAGTCAGTATCAGCTCCTGATGATGTTATTACTGTTGTGAGTTTGTTGCCCTATAATTTTGTAATGAACAATTAGTTGACTAGCTGCTGGTAGCTCTCACTTCGACCCAGGTGCCACGATTCACTTTCCTCACGCGTTTGGATGAAGGGTCCATCAAAGAGAATGAGGCCACGGTTTTCGATTCTCATACTAGATGGGTTGGTTTTATGAATCGTCGATGATGATGCCTTTATTGAGTTTCGAAATATATCGAAATATCATGTTGAGATATCGTATATCGGTATCATGTTTTATCATGCATGCATCCTGACGTAGGTAGAATACCCTGAGAACGCAGACTACCTGCTGAATTTTTTCGCTTCCTTCGCTGATAAAGTGCCCAATCAAGCTGAGATGCAGGACTGGATTGTGGAGAGATCGGCCCTTGATATGTGAAAATTTATATTCCATTTGAGCAGATATTTTATTTGCCTTATATGAGCTCATGAGCATGAGTCGCAGCATGAGTGTATTGACATTCAATGATTGAGAGTTTCACGATTACCCACTATTGTTCGAGGAATGCTTGGCTTGGGCCAGTCATCAGCTGGGTTTAAACCCACACCTTCGAACCACATGCCTCCATCAAGTCCTAAACTCAGGTCATGGCGTTGCCGTGTAATTTTTTTGGGGGGGAGGAATCTATCACTATGAACTACAAGTTCATCCCTTCCATACGCTGCCAAGGCGTGGGGAGAAGCAGAGGCAGAGATCCAACGAGGTTTCTTTTCTTACTGCTTGGACCGATTTCAGCGAAATCCCAAAGCAAGGAGTCAAATGGTGATCTGGCATTTTTGATTTTTCCGGCACGTACTGTCTACTATTATGGGTATGCAATCTAACTTAAGGTTAGTCTAAAATACAGTCGTTTATTATTTATATATTAATTTACAAATCACTGTTTTTTTTACTGTCGAGCGACGTATATTAATTCTAAAGATCGATTCAATAAGTACATTCTTGTCCAATCAATCAATATATTATATATGGTTACATGAAAAATCCTGATTTGATACAGGAGATATCGAAGTCCAAAGTGACATATCCTAC